TGGATAAAATATACCACTACTACTAAGATTTACTCTGTTCGTGAAATAGTTTTATATAAGTTTTGAAATAAAGTTTATCATTTACATCTCTTTATTTTATTCTTAAAAAAATATATATTAATAATATCATAATAATAATTTTAAATCTTTTAATTTACTTGAATATATTGTTTGAATATTATTTTTTGCCGGTTTTTGTTTCGTGTTTATTAGTTACGTGTATAGTTCTATTTATTTATTATATACTAGCTATACTTTCTACCACGACTTCGTCCGCGTAAAATAGTGACCTAATAATGAAAAAATATTTAGCAATCTCAAGTTTCATCGTTCTAGCTTCAAAAATGGAAATTTCCATAGAACTCAATCAACAGTCTAAAAAATAAGTTTCAAGCTTCTAGCTTTAAAAATGGCAATACTTCCTTACAACCTTTCAACTCCCCTTTTAACCCTTACAACCCTTTATTACTTTTCTATGTATAATATGTATGTATTTACAAAAGAAAAATATCTATGTATTTGTATCAGTTATCTAGTACCCATAACACAAGCTCTAGCTAGCTTAACTTCGGTCTAGATGGCGCTGTGTGAATTGTCCTGTGAAAAAAATAAACTTTATATTTAGCTAGCGACTTCGTCCGCGTGGAATTTAACTTTATTTTTCTAAAATAAAAGTAGCCTAAGTTACTCCTTATTATATAAGCTACCTGCCAAAAAGTCTCGTTAAAATTAGTCCAGCCATTTCAGAGATTAGCCGGAACAAACAGACCGACAGACACAGAAACAAAAATTTTAAAAAGTGGTTATTTGGTGTATGTACCGTATTTATATATATATGCATGTAGTAAAAAACGGTTATTTCAATATTACAAACAGACACTCCAATTTTATTTATATGTATAGATGAATAGCCAGAAACATAAGATTCAAGCATTTACCTTTAAAAATTACGATACTTCTATAAACTTTCATCTCCTCTTTTAACCCTTTTTCGTATTAAAAATCAACCTATGTGACAGACAGTCTGAAAGCAAGACTGTACCGGTCAAATCACAACTGATGGTCATGTTAGGAATTCTTTTAAATGTTGATATGCTTGTATAAAATCTAACACGCAATGATCCATTATGTTGCTTTACTTTGTTTATGATTTAATTGTAGTCATTAAGGTATTTTAATCTGTCGATATCGATGGTTTAGCGGTTTAACGGTTTAGCACACCGCTTTACGTCCGATGTTCGCGGGTTCGATTCCTCGGTACGAACATTTGTATTCATGAGTATGATTGAATCTGTCTGGGTCTGGGTGTGTTCTATGTATAATATGTATGTATTTACAAATATATATATATATATATATTTGTAAATAAATATATATATGTCGGGCACTGCCAGTATATTATAATAATGCAGATATTATATATCCATGTATTCACACGTAATCACAAACTTTCGCGTTTGTAATATTTGTAAGATCTATTGAAATTTGTCATTTTATATTATTTAGGAATGCATTCATTATATATAATTGAAAATAACATAAGTGTTATCATAATCTAATTTAATACTAGATATTATATTCAATTGAAAGCCAATTTACATTAACTATTAATGGTATTAATTTTGCTTAAATTATGTTTATGAATAGTTATCCTTGTTTTAATCTACCGCTCATTCGGAAAGCTGTCTCATCATAACAAGAACCAGCAAGAAACTTGGGTGTTGCTCTTTTAAATAATCGTTGTAACTTTAATTTTTTACGCTGTAATTTCACATTTTTAAGTCGAAGCGTGTGAATCCAAACTACCAACTAGCACTAATATATTAGGATCAAATATTAAATAGATCGAAGAAAAATTATATTGACAATTATACTTATATTATACTAGATGACTCACGTTTTCCGTTTAACTTTGCCTGCATCACACTTACATGATATTTATCATCATATTTCGCCCAATTTACCTAATATCTTTCAAATCGTAGACGTAATTGTTATTCTGATGCAAAGCTGTATTACTGTAAAGTTTCATCAAAATCCGTTCAGTAGTTTTTGCGTGAAAGAGTAACAAACATCCATACTCACAAACTTTCGCGTTTATAATATTATTAAAATAAATATATACCCTTATGTGCAAAGCGACCCTTGCCTCTAAGGTAATCGTGTCATTAAAAAAACATTACAATTACTATTCAATTTTGTCGATGGCTCGTAAAAAGGTTATTACCTCATCGTGTTGTCGCTGCTTCGTGTGGAACAATTCGTTGGGAAACTGTACAGTTTGCTTCTTTGTAATGCTAGTTGACAAATGTTAGAATGCAACATTAGGTATTATTACGCATATATACCGTGGTATATTAATAATTAGAATACTGTACAAAAGTGTTTATATAATACTAGCTGGCCTCCGCAACTTCGTTTTCATCGCACTTACTTGACATTCATCATTATATTTCGCCCAATTTACGTAATATCTTTTCAAATTGTAGCCTATGTGTTATTCTGATGTATAAGCTATATTACTGTAAAGTTTCATCAAAATCCGTTAAGTAGTTTCTGCGTGAAAGAGTAACAAAAATCCATCTATACTATACTTTCACGTTTAAATATTAGTAAGACTGGCTGTAGTATCTAAATATTAGTCCGCGACTTCATCTTCGTGGAAGAGGGACCTTGGATATAACTTTTAATTATTTAGACTAATTACTATACAAATAAGATAAATACATATAAATACATTAATAAGGTTAATAAAAAAGTTTCATCGTTTTAGCTTAAAAATGACTATACTTCCATACCCCCTTATGACCCTTTTTTTCCATTAAAAATAAGGACCTTTTAGCTGCTTATGAACGTTACATTTTTTGTATTTGTTCTCCCTACCGTACGAATAAGGATTATTTATTAATATTATTATTATTAAAAATCACAATCTGGCAATAAAAAACCAAATCATCCTTTTTGATTTAGATGGTTTTTATTTTTATTATGTTTGTAATTATAAATAAAGTATGTATGTATTTATATAAGTTATCTAGTAACCCTAATACAACTCTGCTTAGCGTGGGGCTAGATGGCGCTGAATTATATTGAGATATTAATATTATTATATGAAATTTATGAAAAAAAAATACTAAAAATAATAATAATACTAATCTTTATTTTGTTGGAGTTTGCAACAGACGTTTTTACGATTATTTTATTATAGTCTCGCAGTTTCCATCTGATGCTTGCATGGACCAACAGTGGTCTAGTAAATAATCACTATTTTAGAGGTATTATATTATATCTTATTATTATTATAAATGCGAAAGTTTGTGAGTATAGATGGATGTTTGTTACTCTTTCACGCAAAAAGTATTGAACGGATTTTAATGAAACTTTACAGTAATATAGGTTATACATCAGATTAAGACATAGGCTATAATTTAAAATGATATTATGGAAATTGGGAGAAATATAATGGTAAGTGTAATGCAGACGAAGTTGCGGATCAGCTAGTAATAACATAAATAACAAACAGATTATAAAGTGATAGGTCTCGACGTCGGGGTTACGGAAAATCATTAAAATATTCATACATTTAGCAGTTTTTATATTGTGTAAGTATAAATAAGAGAAAAACAAACGTATGTTATTACGTCTTATTCTCCGTCGACACGTGTTAGCATAGTGTATGTTGTTCATATAAGTACATATATACATATAGCTATGGATTGAAATGTAGACTTTAGTGTACATATTTTTATGGATGATAATGGAATGTATGGATTAAAGCAGGGATGTTAAGGATACGAAATTTCGGATACCGATAGGTTTCGGATATAGGAATGATTATTATACCGGATACGGATGCAGATAAGAAATTATTTCGGATTATCCGTTAGTTTTTAAGGAATATTAATAGTAAAATACAAATAGGTAATAACATGGTTACATAACGTGTCTCATTTAGGCTCCGCACCTATCCGGTAGTATCTGATACTTTTATTTCGGATTCGGTTACGGTTACGGATATTTTGTATATAGGATATCCGATTGTTTCGGTTACGGTTACGGATCTCCTTAACATCCCTGGACTAAAGGTATGTATGTATACGCTGGTGGGCACCAGTGGAGGATGATGAGACGAGAATGAAGTTAAGTCACTTAACAAATAACAATAATTTCCTATGACAATTCAAAAAACGACATCTAGTTCCAAAGCAAGCAGTACTTGTGTTATGGGTATTAGACAACTGATATAAATACTTAGATATATTTTTTAATGCATACATAATATATATAGAAATCACCCAGATCGATATAAACAATCATATCGAAGAATCGAACCCGCAACTATCGGAAGTAAAGCACACTGCTAAACCGCTAGACCTCTGAGGCCGAGAATGGTAATCAATGGTGCATCCGGCTGCCTTTTTTGAGAGAATGGTGTACTGGCTTGCATTAAGGGAATATTAGTTGAGGCTGATAATATGAGGTCAGGTCAGCCCATCATGGCAAATTCACCAGGAATTTAACATGATGGTAAGGGGTTCACCCTCCTCCGCGAGCTGAACCTAGCATGGTACATTGCTAGCAATGGGGTTATTAATCCACAGTACTAAGAATCCCCTTTCCCCTAACCTGCTTGCGTTAAAGGCAGGAGGATGATAAGATGAGAATGAAATGGGAGAAAAGGTAAGTCAGTATTACCCAAAAAATCCTTTTTATAAGGCCGACAATGTACTTGCTATTCCCCTGGTGTTGCGGGTGCTAATGGGCGGCGGTAATCACTTACCATCAGGTGAGCCGCATGCTCGTTTGTCCCCTGTGTTATAAAAAAATAATAATAAAAACACTATGGGTTAAAGATAGTATATCTATCAATCTAACTTCATTTCAAAATTCATTAGGTTTAGACGTTTAGTTATATAGAAATAACAAACAGAACAGATAAATCTTCTAATGATATATAAGTATCAGTATGGATTACTCAAGTAATATGTTTATTGTTTCAGAATGTTTACGAGGGGCTGTCATACGTGAAAAAGGTAATTATAAAGAAAAATGGCCGCGAGATTAACATGGATGGATGGTACTTAATAAAAAATAAATAAGAGGTCTTACAGTAGACCCATGATTTTCGGTACATTTCAATATTGAGCACTGTTTTGTTTATACTCTGATAAACTGATAACCTGCAATATCGGTTTGGTTTAATCGGAAGATTTTATTGTAACGTATTCGTTTTAAAGCTTTATATGACATTTCCACAACACTTTTTTAAAACATCACAATTAAAAAAAAAACATTCGCACATTATATCTGAGTAACCTATAAAAGATCTCGTGGAGATCTTTGGGGGAGGCCTATGTCCAGCAGTGGACGTCTTCCGGACTGCGATGATGATGATGATGATGAACCCATAAAAATGGGTAATTAATATTAATTTACGATAGTGCCACACCCCTATTTAAAAAATGTAAAAGCCTGGCAACATCGGTAATGGCAAATTTGTCTCCGGGATTAAAAAAACAGACTGTAGTACTCATGCACCCGTGTGTCCGCGTGCCCGTGGACCCGTTTCTTCTCGCGTGGTCTCGCGTTGCGGTCCAGCGCTCTCCACGCTTTCTCCAAGATCGTTCCTCTCGTCTCGATCACGACACACACTTCTCGACGCTACTATTTACTACAATATAATAATACAATGCAATCGTGACAGGACCGACCGGCGACGGATGGTCTACTTAGTGCTAAACAAAGAGCTTGTCTCAAAGAGTCTTTCAAAATTAAATTCATTATTCAAATTATTTATCTTTATTCATGTAGGTGTATACAGATTCTTATGATATGTCAAATCAACCGTCAGTTCGGAATGATTTCGAAATGAGAAGAACTGACAAGAAACTCAGCTCGTGTTTTTTCAAATAAATGTTGTACATGTTTAAAATAATACAAATTCATTTAAATTCAAATTTGGGAGAGTAGAGTGGCCACCATCATATGCTATTGCAAAAGCAAAAAGTCTAATCAGTGTTTGTAACCTGAACAGACCTCTGATCAGATCTCTGCATCTTTGTTTACCTTCTTGTTCTTCGGCCATGCTAGGGTTTATGTTACAGTTTTCAAAATCATTCCGAGAATTTTTTCCGAATAGTTTATAATAATAATAATAAATTTTTACGGGCGACGGATGGTCTACTTAATGCTAAACAAAGAGCCTGTCTCTTTGTTTACTTCTAGTCCTTCAAGCAACAAAATCCATAGATTTTGTTACAGTATTCAATATCATTTCGAGAATTTCTTCCGAATAGTTTATAATAATAATAATAAATTTTTACGGGCGACGGATGGTCTACTTAATGCTAAACGAAGAGTCTGTCTCTTTGTTTACTTCTAGTCCTTCAAGCAACAAAATCCATAGATTTTGTTACAGTACTCAATATCATTTCGAGAATTTCTTCCGAATAGTTTATAATAATAATAATAAATTTTTACGGGCGATGGATGTCGCCTGTCTCTTTGTTTACTTCTAGTCCTTCAAGCAACAAAATCCATAGATTTTGTTACAGTATTCAATATCATTTCGAGAATTTCTTCCGAATAGTTTATAATAATAATAATAAATTTTTACGGGCGATGGATGTCGCCTGTCTCTTTGTTTACTTCTAGTCCTTCAAGCAACAAAATCCATAGATTTTGTTACAGTACTCAATATCATTTCGAGAATTTCTTCCGAATAGTTTATAATAATAATAATAAATTTTTACGGGCGACGGATGGTCTACTTAATGCTAAACGAAGAGCCTGTCTCTTTGTTTACTTCTAGTCCTTCAAGCAACAAAATCCATAGATTTTGTTACAGTATTCAATATCATTTCGAGAATTTCTTCCGAATAGTTTATAATAATAATAATAAATTTTTACGGGCGATGGATGTCGCCTGTCTCTTTGTTTACTTCTAGTCCTTCAAGCAACAAAATCCATAGATTTTGTTACAGTATTCAATATCATTTCGAGAATTTCTTCCGAATAGTTTATAATAATAATAATAAATTTTACCGACGACGGATGGTCTACTTAATGCTAAACAAAGAGCCTGTGTCTTTGTTTACTTCTAGTCCTTCAAGCAACAAAATCCATAGATTTTGTTACAGTATTCAATATCATTTCGAGAATTTCTTCCGAATAGTTTATAATAATAATAATAAATTTTTACGGGCGACGGATGGTCTACTTAATGCTAAACAAAGAGCCTGTGTCTTTGTTTACTTCTAGTCCTTCAAGCAACAAAATCCATAGATTTTGTTACAGTATTCAATATCATTTCGAGAATTTCTTCCGAATAGTTTATAATAATAATAATAAATTTTTACGGGCGACGGATGGTCTACTTAATGCTAAACAAAGAGCCTGTCTCTTTGTTTACTTCTAGTCCTTCAAGCAACAAAATCCATAGATTTTGTTACAGTATTCAATATCATTTCGAGAATTTCTTCCGAATAGTTTATAATAATAATAATAAATTTTTACGGGCGACGGATGGTCTACTTAATGCTAAACGAAGAGCCTGTCTCTTTGTTTACTTCTAGTCCTTCAAGCAACAAAATCCATAGATTTTGTTACAGTATTCAATATCATTTCGAGAATTTCTTCCGAATAGTTTATAATAATAATAATAAATTTTTACGGGCGATGGATGTCGCCTGTCTCTTTGTTTACTTCTAGTCCTTCAAGCAACAAAATCCATAGATTTTGTTACAGTATTCAATATCATTTCGAGAATTTCTTCCGAATAGTTTATAATAATAATAATAAATTTTTACGGGCGACGGATGGTCTACTTAATGCTAAACGAAGAGCCTGTCTCTTTGTTTACTTCTAGTCCTTCAAGCAACAAAATCCATAGATTTTGTTACAGTATTCAATATCATTTCGAGAATTTCTTCCGAATAGTTTATAATAATAATAATAAATTTTTACGGGCGACGGATGGTCTACTTAATGCTAAACAAAGAGCCTGTCTCTTTGTTTACTTCTAGTCCTTCAAGCAACAAAATCCATAGATTTTGTTACAGTATTCAATATCATTTCGAGAATTTCTTCCGAATAGTTTATAATAATAATAATAAATTTTTACGGGCGACGGATGGTTTACTTAATGCTAAACAAAGAGCCTGTCTCTTTGTTTACCTCTAGTCCTTCAAGCAACAAAATCCATAGATTTTGTTACAGTATTCAATATCATTTCGAGAATTTCTTCCGAATAGTTTATAATAATAATAATAAATTTTTACGGGCGACGGATGGTCTACTTAATGCTAAACAAAGAGCCTGTCTCTTTGTTTACTTCTAGTCCTTCAAGCAACAAAATCCATAGATTTTGTTACAGTATTCAATATCATTTCGAGAATTTCTTCCGAATAGTTTATAATAATAATAATAAATTTTTACGGGCGACGGATGGTCTACTTAATGCTAAACAAAGAGCCTGTCTCTTTGTTTACTTCTAGTCCTTCAAGCAACAAAATCCATAGATTTTGTTACAGTATTCAATATCATTTCGAGAATTTCTTCCGAATAGTTTATAATAATAATAATAAATTTTTACGGGCGACGGATGGTTTACTTAATGCTAAACAAAGAGCCTGTCTCTTTGTTTACCTCTAGTCCTTCAAGCAACAAAATCCATAGATTTTGTTACAGTATTCAATATCATTTCGAGAATTTCTTCCGAATAGTTTATAATAATAATAATAAATTTTTACGGGCGACGGATGGTCTACTTAATGCTAAACAAAGAGCCTGTCTCTTTGTTTACTTCTAGTCCTTCAAGCAACAAAATCCATAGATTTTGTTACAGTATTCAATATCATTTCGAGAATTTCTTCCGAATAGTTTATAATAATAATAATAAATTTTTACGGGCGACGGATGGTCTACTTAATGCTAAACAAAGAGCCTGTCTCTTTGTTTACTTCTAGTCCTTCAAGCAACAAAATCCATAGATTTTGTTACAGTATTCAATATCATTTCGAGAATTTCTTCCAAATAGTTTATAATAATAATAATACATTTTTACGGGCGACGGATGGTCTACTTTATGCTAAACGAAGAGCCTGTCTCTTTGTTTACTTCTAGTCCTTCAAGCAACAAAATCCATAGATTTTGTTACAGTACTCAATATCATTTCGAAAATTTCTTCCGAAGCGATCCGGTTTATAATAATAATAATAATTTTTATTTTGCACATAATATTTATAAATAGTTGTTTTAAATTGTTCCCTAAACTAAATAGAAACTTGTATTTTAGGCACCAGTTCTCTCCCTTACAATTATTAGAATTACAAATTACAAAAGCCAATCAAATAACGCATTAACTTAAGCTTATCATCATTTACTTGCAGTGTGTGTGAGTGTGTGTGTGTGAGTGTATTAATAATTCGGTAGATTATTTTGATGGATGACAATAGAATGGTGCAGGTGAGTACCTGTGCTAACGATATGCGCTGGCGGGGCACCAGTGGAGGATGATGAATGAGGTCAGGTCAGTGAGCCCATCGTGATGAAATTACTTAGTTTCCAGGAGGAACCGCGTGAAGGTAGACTTGAAATGGTACGTTTAAAAAAAACAATCAAATCAAAACATCTTTATTCATATAGGTTTATTACTATACAACAAATTATTATCCGGCACGTAAGTAATTTGTTTAACTTTGTCAATTTAATACCAATCATTACATAGTATATGTAAAACAAAGTCGCTGTCGCTGTCTGTCTGTCCCTATGTATGCTTAAATCTTTAAAACTACGCAACGGATTTTGAAGCGGTTTTATTAATACATAGAGTGATTCAAGAGGAAGGTTTATATATGTATATGATACATGTACACCCGTGTGAAGCCGGGGCGAGTAGCTATTATTGTATTCTTTCTGTACGTTATAACTTTTTATAATTATTTACTAGACTTCGTAGTCTTTTGTTAGAGATGAATGACGTTTGTATGATCTGTTGTTGTTTTGAATGTAAATATTTTATTGCAACGAAAGT